AAGATCTAGATGTTGATAAAGGGGCTTACCAGAGATTTGTGAGAAAATTGATCTATCTTTCCCAAATGAGACCAAATATAACATTTGTTGCAAGTATGATTAGTCAGTTTATGCAAAATCCAAAACAAACTTATATGCAAGCATTAGACAAAATATTGCACTACGTCAAGGGTAACCCAGGGAAATGAATTCTCTTTAGAAGAGATGACAGAATAACCCTAGAGGCATACACTGATGTTGATTATGCAGGATCACCAACAGACAGAAGATCTACTTCTAGGTACTGCACATTCATTAGAGGAAACCTAGTTACTTAGAGAAGAAATAGAATGTGCTAGCAAGATCTAGTGCAGAAGCAGAATATAGGATTATAGCCTTGGGAATATATGATTATTATGAAAAAAGATGATTATAGAAGATCTAAGGATCAAGTGGGACAAATCCATAAAGTTACATTGTGACAACAATTCAGCAATCAACATAGCTAACAATCCAATCCAACATGACAGGACCAAGCACATAGAAGTTGACAGACATTTTATAAAAGAAAAATTAGACATTGGTTTGTATGTATGGTCAAGTAGATTCAACAAATAGTTTTATACGGTAAAATAGTTTTATACGGTAAACATATGTAGAAAAAATAAAAAGAATTAAGAGAATAATGGTACAAAGAATCAGGGAAAATAAGAAAAGAGGTTAGTTAGTTAATGCTACCATTAGCATAGTACTTGGGCATCTCTTGGTCATCATCGGCTTGTCCATGCTAGAAAGACAATTATGTCATCGATTTATGCAACAATAAAGCAACACAGAAACAGGATAGAAATAATAATTATTGAGGTATTAATGTCTTAGCACCTATGGTGCTTGAACAAAGTGGCGAGCCAACTTAGCACTTTCACGAAAGATTTATTTAAAATTTTGAAGACTGTCTCATTGGCCTATTTACAAAGGCAATAGGCGCCTCAAGTGAAAATCTTTTAAATCTATGAACTTTGCTAAAATAAGTATTTTTTTTATATATATTGTTTTCATAGGTGCATAACTTTGGTTAAACTTAGTGAGATATGTGCATTCATTAATTCACCTACAATCTTATTTAAAATTTTTATTTTTTCTACTTTTTTAGAGCTTCTTCATTTATAATGGAGAAACATATGTAGGAAAAAATTAAAAAAATTAAGAGAATAAGAGTACAAATAATAAGGGAAAATAAGAAAGAGGTTAGTTAGTTAGTGCTACCCTTAGCACAGTAGTTGCACATCTTTTGGTCATCACCGGCTTGTCCTTGCTAGAAAGACCATTATGTCATCAACTTATGCAACAATAAAGCTACAAAATAATTATTAAGGTAACAATGTCTAGCACCTATGGTGCTTAAACAAAGCGACAAGACAACTTACACCATCACAAAAGATTTATTTTAAAAATGTGAAAAGTTTGGATTGACTCATTAGTCTTTTTACAAAGGCAATAGGCGCCTCAAGTGGGAATCTGTTAAATCTATGAAGTTTGCCAAAATAAATCATTTTTTTTATTTTTTTATATTATTTTCATATGGTGCATAACTTCGGTTAAATTTAGTGACATCTGTGCATTCATTGATTTGCCTAAAATCATATTTAATGTTCTTATTTTAATTTTTTTACATTTTTAGAGCTTCTTCATTCATAATGGAGAGCAGCATCGAAGATTGTACTAATATTCTTCATCTTCTTCAAGGCATTTTTTATTTCCGAGTTTTTTACCCCAATTTTAATGACCTAGAATGACTAATAATTTAAATTTGCACTGTTTTAAAGTTATCTACAAATTTATTTAATTTGGCTGACATGGGTAGATTTAATAAATTTTTGTATTATACATATTTCTATTTATGTACAAATAAATATATGCTAATTGATTATCCACAATAATAACAACATCAAGCCTTTATCCCACTACGTGGGGTCGGCTGCATTAATCATTTTTTCTCAATTGTGTTCTATTAAAAGTCGAATTCTCATTTAAACCTAATAAAGAAATATTATTTCTAATATTTTCTAACCAAGTCTTATAGATCTACCTTTATCTTTCTTAAAATAAGCCAAATCTAATACATCTACTCTCCTAAGTGGGTTAGCGGAAGGCCGTTGTTTTATGTGACCAAATTATCTAAGACAACTCCCTTTAATCTTATCTGCCACTGGAGCTACTCCAACCTTTTCACGAATATGCTCGTTTCGTATTATGTCTCTAAGAGTAAAACAACTCATCCACCTGAGCATCCTCATCTCTGCAACACTTAACTTAATATCATGCTTCTCTTTTAATGGCCAACATTCTTTGCCTTAAAGCATTATAGGTCTAACCACCATCTTATAGAATTTTCCCTTAAGTTTGAGGATATTTTTCTATCACACCACAAGCCCAATGCATTCCTCTACTTCAACCATCCAACATGAATTGTACTAATTATATCATCATCTATTTCCCCATCACTCTGAACAATGATCGAGATATATAAAATGTATACTCTTACTAATGACTTGAACACCCAAAGTCACAATCCTCCCACTAGATCTATTATTGCTAAAATTACACCAATGTATTCGGTTTTAGATTTACTAAAACAAAAACCTTTAGACTCAAAGGTTGACCTCCATAATTCAAGTTAATCTTCAACACCATTTCTAGTCATATCAACAAAACGCATACACCAAGGTGCAGCCTCTTCCAAATGTCTAGTAAGAACACCCATGACTAAAGCAAAAAAAATATGGGCTTAAGGCTGATATTTGATGTAATTAAGCTGAAAGAGGAAAATACTAGGTTAAACTACTTTATGTTTGAACACAAGTAATAACTCCTTCATACATATCCTTAATGACTTAAATATAAGCATTATTAACACCTTTTTTCTAGAACTCTCTATAGCACTTCTCTTGAAGCTTTATCATATACTTTATCTAAATCAATAAATATCACATGTAGATCCTCCTCATTCTCTTTATACTTCTCCAGCAAATCTCTCAATAAATGTATAGCTTCCATAGTAGAGCTACACAACATGAATCCAATTTTATTTTAAGAAACAATAGTAACACATCGTAACTTATGCTCCATAACTCTCTCGCATAGTTTTAAAGTATGACAAATTAACTTAATTCATCTATAATTCGCACAATCTTGTGCATCACCTTTATTCTTAAAAATATGAATCAATACACTCATCTGAAAATATTTGTCTTCAAAATAATATTTAAAAGTTTAGTAAGCCAAGAAATTCCTTCATCTCCTAAGCATTTCCACACCTCTATTAGAATATCATCAAGTCCAATAGCTTTTTCGCACTTCATTTTTTTTAAGTCTCTCTAAGTTCAACTTTACTAATACACCGATAAAAACAAAAATCTCTATTTTCATATAGGGTGCTAAGGTCACCAAAGTCAATCGTACTCTCACAATCTTCATTGAAAAACTTAGCAAATTATCTCATCCACCTTTGTTAAATATCCACTTTAATAAAAGTACTTTTTTTATCTTCATCCTTAATGCACTAAATTTTTACTACTCTTACCTCTTTGCTTGACTAATTTATACTTATATTTTCACTCCCCTTAGTATATAATCTATTATATAAATCATTAAAAGCTAAAATATTTGCATCACATATTGCTTTTTTAAACTCCTTACAAGTCTATTTATATCATTCCCAATTTTCGTTATTTTTACATCTAAAACAATTTCTATAAGATTTTTTTTATTTTTTATCTTTTATTACACACTTTGATTCGACTACCAACTATTTTTACTATTATGAGTTTTTCTTTTTATACTCCAATCATATCGTTCGCAACATTCTTAATATCACTAGCTATTTTTTTTCACATAACATTAGCGTTCTAGTGCACAGACAAAATTTTAAGATCTATAATCTTACTCTTAATTTTTTTTTTGTTAATATTTGTTAATTGTATAAATAGAAACATTATTTGTAGATGTAACATACCATCAATTATATTTGATGAATTAGAGTCATATTTTAATGGTACAGAGGTTGTATTTTCTTTAAATAAATTTTAGATATCAATTTTTTAAGCTATGTAAGTGTCTCATTAAGTTAATGGTATGATAAATTATCCCTTATATGCTAAATTTTCCAAGAGTGTAAGCACATAGTTTATATACAAGGATTTCAACTAAGCTGCAAGAGATATGGATGAATAAAAAATTTAAAAGACTGTCGCCATAAATGTTGATTGCATTAATACAAAACATCCAGAAAAATCTCCACATCAACAGAAAATTTGTTTATAAAAAAGGGATCTTTCTTGGCAGATCATGATCACCATTCACGACCTCATTACAACTCTTAGGATTCAGTTCCAAACAATCACAACCAAAATTCAAATAACATCTTTTTCCTGTTTTTCACATATCAGATCAAATTTAACAATTCTGGCATAGCAAGATTGCAGATTATTGGGAAAAGTAGGTGCATGTTTTAAAGTGAAATTAACCTTTTGTGAGCAACAATCGTTTAAACAATTGGATGATTTAACATCAATAGATCAGAGAATACAAATTAGAAATCCAATGGAACAAAAAAGAATGAGTCGCTTTGTTCAATAAATTTTATATGCAACGGGATCCTATTTATAATAGAGAAAGGACTCAAAATCTCATGGGTACAGGTTTATTTTAGACAAATCACATAAATCTTTGTCTTTTGCCAAGCTTAGTCTTTTTTATTTTTATTTTTTGTTCATGTTATTCGCTCCTGGCAGGCGCTTCCTCACCAAAAAAAAAGAAAGAAAGATGTTTCGATTAACCAAAAAGGAAACTAAAATTTCAAAGTTAAAAAACCTAGCGGGGCATAATTTCCCTTCCACAGCCTATCCCATTCTCCTCCAAAATTTAAGTTTTGAAAGAATACTCAAAATAACCGTCAAACAGTATCAGCGTAAAGGAAGCAAATAATTAAAGGAAGCAAACATGCGCAAGGACTGCCATACCTATAGTCTCATCTCCTAAAACCCTCTCGAGCGTGACCACCAAAGAATTCGGCACAGTAAAGGCTACATCCCCCTCCTGCTATCACGGAGGACAAGAACATCACACAATAAGCTCAGAAGAAACAAAATCAACAGAAATCAAACACTAGAGAAACCAATCGATCCTACTTGAAGATCTTCACTGGCAGCCACGTAATGAATAGGGCGGTGTTTCCCATCGTGAAAATGCCTCTCCTGAAGAACAACCTTGCAAGGGGGAAGCCCCTCTCTGACTAGCCAAGACTTCAGATCCACGGCCTCCGAGCCTTTCGTGCCGCTACTCCAGTCTTCCCTTCGCGCTCCAGCTAGAAGGGTGTCGGCGGCGCAAGCGAGTAAGCGGTTCCGGCGGCGAGCGTTGCGGATAGGAAGTAAGGGGAAGTAGAATGTTGACGGTATTGAGGATCGGCGGGAAGTCGACAGAAGGGTAGAAGGGAAGGAGCCGCGGAGGTAGGAAGATGCCATTGAATGGCGTGGTAGTTGAGAGTTTGCGGTGAGAGTTGGAGCAAAAATCACCATTTAAAATTCATTAAAATCAATATGAGTAAAAAAAACTATTAATGATTGGTGTGTAAAACAATAAAAGGAATATGGAGAGGGGAAGATCAAATCACTGTTCTGAAAATTTGATCGGCCCTAGGGGTGCAAATTAGTGTGAGTCTAGTTCAAGTCAATGCTATTCGAGTCAGGTTAGACTATCTAATATCGAGTCGAGCTCGCGCTAGAACTCAAGTGGAGCTCAAAATTCGAGCTCGAGCTTGACTCGTCTTCATGTCAAGCGGCTTGTCGAGCTCAATTCGAGCTCCATTGTCGAACTTGTCTTCGCGTTCTTCTTCTTCCCAAACTTCAACGACGTGGTCCCTCGTCCCTTGTCTAGATCTTCTTCCCGACCACAACCAATCCGCCGTCAATATTCTTCGTCACGAGCTTATTATTGTATTCGTCTTCTACCCGAACTCCAGGGACGTCGTCCCAAGGACTAGAGCTGCAGTCAAAAATGACAGACGTCGTCGTCCAGATCTTCTCTGTCATCTTTCCGAACTCCGACGACGTTGTCCCAAGGCCTATTCTGTGGATTAGGATTTTGATTTCCCGCTCGACTCGTAGTCAAAAATTACTAACAATTTGGATTTCCCGCTCGACTTGGATTTACCGCTCGCTAGATAGTCGAGATCTGGCATGCCAACTCCGCTAATTTCAATTTCCTGCTCTCCTGCTCCATGGATTAGGATTTCCAGCCCGCAACCGTTGAGCTGCTCGTCAAGCCAACAAGTCGAGTATGAGGTTTGTTCGAGCTCGATCTCGATAAGCCTTCGAGCTCTAAAGTGTGTTCGAGTTCGACTCGCGAGCTCAATAAGCTCGACTCATCGAGCCTGTTACCGAGTCGAGTCTAAGCCAGCTCGTGAATCAGCTTGACTCGTTTGCACCTCTAATCGGCCCAGCCGGTTTGACAAATTCATTAGAAAATCGATCAGCTAGATAATATAATTTTTTTTTTTTTTCTATAACAAGTTTTGCATTGAACAAAATAAAATCATTTTGAACCGATTGTTCATTCTTGAATAGTCCCAAATTTTTAAGAACAAGCCGATTCAACTACTATCTCTTTATATAATAAAATAAGTTTGTTTAATGATTTTAATATAAAGTGATGAATTTTAATATAATATTTAATTTTAAAGTTACTTTTAATTTTTTGTAATAATCATTTATCAAATAAGCATGCATGTCAAAATAGGACTGAAAAATGAACTTGAAGAAGGAGAAATTCATAGTTCAATGATTCTACTGAAGTGATGCAATTAATACTAATTTTATTAAAAATAATAATAAAATTAACATAATAATAATACTATCATTAGAAATGTGTGACAAAAATTAAACAAAATAGAAGTTTATGATGCATAAAACTTATACAATCAATTAAAAGAATTCTTTTTTAAAATTTAAAAAATGAAGTGTTTGCCTGAAGATGAAGATGAAGATGTTTAAGTAATTCAAACATTAAAAATTAGAAATGCTTAACTATTACTCATTTTACTCAAATGCACTCCAATTTCTTTCAAATCCTTAAGACGAAGATGTTTGACTAAAAATTTTGACAGCCAATTTCTATAAATTTAGTGCACTTCAACCAAACAACTTCTATCATACATCTACAAGTAGTCAAATTTTAATTAGTTCATAGGTGATTTGTATGTACCAAATATCAAATACAAAATTTAATAATTTACTTTGAGCTTCTCTTGTACAGTTAAATTTAATTCTTCAATAGTGAGAAGCATTCTCTGTATAAATTTTCATCTCTAAATCCTCTAAAATAAGCTTTAGAACTAGTCCATCATCAAGAACTTAAACAATTTAAATACTTATGTAGTCCAAAAGAACGTAATTTCTTTTTTTATTTTGAGTTTTATAAAGTTAATATGAATCATGATAAGTATATTGTACATCCTTTTATAAAAAAATATTTAAATATATTTGAAGATTAAACTTATGCCTCAAATTGAGGTTATACCGAACAAATATAAGATCATAGAGCTTTTGATGTTCTGAATGATTTCATCTTTTTGTATGATTTACTCAAATGCTCTCTAATTTATTTCAAAGCCTAAAGATAAAAATATATGGCTAAGAATTCTAAAAGCAAGTTTTTGTAAATTTGGTGCACTTGAGTTAAAACATCTTCCATCATATATTTATAAATAGTCAAATATTAATTAGTTCATAGTTTATTTATATGCATGAGATATCAAATGCATATAGAAGTTATTACTAAACTTAACATATTGCTTATCTTTTGTTGTTGTTAATGCAATTGGTTTGTCAAAACTTTTTAAGTTGTCATGGAAGATCTTAATTTCATTCATTGCTAATGATGGGATATGGCATGTCTCTTTATTTTTTAATCAACTCAATCAAACATTGCATCACTTCAGGTTTGTGGCAGAAATTTTATTTATTGTATTGAAAATAAGAATTAAGAAAATAGATCACATATTGTATGCCTTGTCTTAGTTGGCTATCTCCTCTTCTCTTTGTAATACTTGTGTATGGTTTTTACTTTTGTTTGATATTTCTTAGCATGGTCTTAATAGTTTTCTTATTCTGTACATGCTGTCATAATGAAACCCTAGAGAAGGCTTCTTATCATAATCAATAATTATTAACAACCTAATTAAAGGTCCAAAGAATGTTAAAGTTAACATATAGCTATTCCAAAAGATTGTATCTAAAGTAGTGGAGGCCACTTTTTTCTTTCATTGCTAGAATAACTTTGAGACAGAGTACACTTTACTTGTTATAAATGCTTACAAGCCATGTTTATATTCCTATATGTTTTTCAAAGTGATAAATATTGTAGCAAATCTAGTTACACCAGGCCTAATAATTTCCTTATATCTTGACCTTTTTATTAAACATGACAAAATAAAAACATGATTGTAATTAAATATTGCAACTTTTGAGACTCTTTTACAAGTTCATAGATATGTGGCATATTACTAATATATTTAAGTATAAGTTTTAAGTAATGAGCAAAATATGGCGATCAATATATATTAGAAAATCTTTCATATAATAATCCCCCCCCCCCCCCCCCCCCCCCCCCCCGCCTTTTATTGTTTGCTGCATTATTAATTACCAGCTACATAATATTTTATGGCCCTACCCACTCCATAATCTCACAAAATAAAGAACACAAAGTAGTGTCAACTTCAGTAATGTTAAAAGCATCAATAGATTTCAAAAAAGTGATATCCCGTGGACAATAAACAAAAAAAATTATCAATATTATATTTTGGTTATTTGTCCAACCATCTGTCATTAGTGTACAACTTATTTCTTTTCATGTTATTTTATATGAAGCAATTAGCAACTTACATTCCTCTTTATAATTCCTCAAAAGATTTACTCTTAATCTGTAGTATGATGGTAGTTTGTGCCCATATCTAATAGCACCTATAACATCAATAGCCTTCTATGCAAAGGTATAATTTAAAACATTAAATGGGATGTAATAGTCATAACCCACTATGGTAAAATTAGCATGATGTATGACATCTTTAGATTCCGTAACACTTTATAAGGAAGGTTGGGATCATATTTTGGTTCTTGGTGTGAAGTATTATAAATCTAGGCCTAAGTACTATGATTTTGATGATAACAAATATTATTATTTTCTTACTACTGCTATTATTGTATATCTATTTTGTTTTCCTTGCTCACTAAACTTTCTAGTCTACAAGTTTACTTGCAATGCAAATCAGCTCAAGATCAGGTAGACTAGGGTTGAGTCTATTTGTAATTTCAATTTCAATGTACTTTTCATCTTTCTTGAGTCAAGTCATGTATTTGGTGGACCCCAATCTAAGTAACATTACACACATACATTCAAGGGGTGAGTTAGTGAGTTAGGAGAAAAATAAATTTTTGAGCTAATCATATAGTACGATGCAAATCGTACTAGACAATCAGTTATACAAAAATCCTAATTAGGACATCTTTTATTAAGTAAGATTGTTTAACTAATTATACTAGACAATTCAGATCATATTGGATAATTATTTATAGACATGAAAAAAAGCCGTCAATCATAATTTAGGTAATATTTTAAATCTTTAAAATTTGTTCTAATCATTCAGGACAATTTATAACAATCATACCTAAATTGATCCTATAATTAGATGAGTAACTATGGTTAGATTACTTGATCAGATCGTATAGGAAGATCTACGATAATTGTACAGGATGATCTTTGACATTTCATGGGATGATCCCCCATCATCCAAGACGAAAATAATAATAATCTTTTAATCATACAAAAGATCGTACTAGATGTCCCGAGGGATGTGCAGGATGATATGCAAATTACTGCCCATCATTCCACATCATATTAGGTGATCAATACAGTATCTTGAACTAATCATCCCGGATGATTATGGAATCATACTGGATGATATATATAAATACTTGAAATGACCGTATAGGGCAATGCTGATCATACTGGCTGAAAGGTTTATTTTGTACTAATCGTATAGGATTATCTTAATATCATTTTGAATGATCTTTGATGGAAAATTGAAAATTAGGGCTTCTTTTGGAGGCTCTCTATTTAATCTCTCATATTATCTTTTGAGAGAGCATAGAGAATGATGAGGGGAGCTTAGAGAGAGAGAGAGAGAGAGAGAGAGAGAGAGAGAAAGTTTCTTATGAGGGGGAGTTATGAGAAGTTTGTTACAAGAAAGGTTTCCACTGTCGTTTTCAAGCTTCTTCCTTAGTTCCTTAGTGGATCTAGGGAAATTTTCATCAACTTTAGATCCAGATTATCTGCCTTCACCATGAGGGTGAAAAATAATTCCAAAGTTCTTTGCCTACTCCATGAGGGAGTAAAAGGATTCCAAGGTTCTCTGCCTATTCAAGGAGGGAGTAAGACGATTTCCAAGTTCTTTGCCTACTCCAGGAGAGAGTAAAATGATTCAAGGTACTTTGCCTCACCAAGTTGGTGAAAAGATTT